CTTATAGATAAACGTCTGTTTGTAGACACGCATGGCACCACGTTTGCATGGAAACACGTAGTACATGACGTTTGCATGGAGACACGTAGTACACCATGTGTGTTTGAAGACACGAAGTACACCACGTCTGTTTGAAGACACGTGTGACAGTACACATGCAAACATACACGAGTGCCAACTCCTCGGTATAAATAATAATCTTATAGATAAACGTCTGTTTGTAGACACGCATGGCACCACGTTTGCATGGAAACACGTAGTACATGACGTTTGCATGGAGACACAAATGGTAACAGACAAGTAAACATACACGAGTGCCAACTCCTCGGCGTGGATGAACGAAGGACAACGCCATCATCCTATGGATAAACATGCGTTTGTTGTCACGCGTGACACCACGTTTGCATGGCAACACGAAGTACATAAAGTTTGCATGGAGACACACGTGACAGTACGTATGTAGACCTACACGAGAGCCAACTCCTCGGTATAAATAAACGAGTGACAACACATGACACTACGTTTTGCATGAAGACATGAAGTACATCACGTTTACATGGAGAGACGTAGTACACCATGTGTGTTTGAAGACATGAAGTACATCACGTGTGCATGGAGACACGCGTGACAGTACACATGTAAACATACACGAGTGTCAGCACTTCGGTATAAATGAACGAATGACAACGTCATCATCCTATGGATAAACGTGTGTTTGTAGTCACGCGTGGCACCATGTTTGCATGGAGACACGAATGACAGTACGTGTACATGAAGACACGCGTGACAGTACACATGTAAACATACACGAGTGCCAGCACCTCGGTATTAATGAACGAGTGACAACGTCATCATCCTATGGATAAACGTGTGTTTGTAGTCACGCGTGGCACCATGTTTGCATGGAGACACGAATGACAGTACGTGTACATGAAGACACGCGTGACAGTACACATGTAAACATACACGAGTGCCAGCACCTCGGTATTAATGAACGAGTGACAACGTCATCATCCTATGGATAAACGTGTGTTTGTAGTCACGCGTGGCACCATGTTTGCATGGAGACACGAATGACAGTACGTGTACATGAAGACACGCGTGACAGTACACATGTAAACATACACGAGTGCCAGCACCTCGGTATAAATGAACGAGTGACAACGTCATCATCCTATGGATAAACGTGTGTTTGTAGTCACGAGTGGCACCATGTTTGCATGGAGACACGAATGACAGTACGTGTACATGAAGACACGCGTGACAGTACACATGTAAACATACACGAGTGCCAGCACCTCGGTATAAATGAACGAGTGACAACGTCATCATCCTATGGATAAACGTGTGTTTGTAGTCACGAGTGGCACCATGTTTGCATGGAGACAAGAATGACAGTACGTGTACATGAAGACACGCGTGACGTACACATGTAAACATACTCGAGTGCCAGCACCTCGGTATAAATGAACGAGTGACAATGTATCACCCTATGGATAAACGTGTGTTTGTAGTCACGAGTGGCACCATGTTTGCATGGAGACACGAATGACAGTACGTGTACATGAAGACACGCGTGACGTACACATGTAAACATACACGAGTGCCAGCACCTCGGTATAAATAAACGAGTGACAATGCATCATCCTATGGATAAACGTGTGTTTGTTGTCACGCGTGGCACCATGTTTGCGTGGAGACACGAATGACAGTACGTAGGCATATACCTACATCACGTTCATGTCTGTGCCTGTCGATTCACCTTGAGAATTCAGCCAACACCTTTAGAATTCCACACCATGATCGTAGCGCTGAGGTGATTGCCACTCACCGACTTTTAACGGCTGTCATAGTGGGCTACAATACACGATCGCCTTGTGGAACGAGACCTTGCACCTCAAAGTTTACAAACACATCACCATACCCAATGACATGATTTGTGAAATGTTGTTGCAAAATCCTTCGCCGATATGACGTCAACCTAGCAACAAAGTGGCAGAGTCGTCGACTGTGTATGATAAGCTCGTGTCAGTGAACTATCATGTCCACATGCCATCGCCACACACCCACCAAAACAAAACAAAACAAAGAACCCGACTCCCCTCCCGCCTTCCTCCCTCCTCCTCCTTCCTCCCTCCTCCTCCCTTCACCACCACCCTCCCTTCACCACTACCACCTTTTCTATTTCTATTTTAGAACAACACAAGAACAACAACCCTGTCGATCTTGTTCCCCTCGTACGGGCGCTTCTCCGGGTTTTCCCCCTATCCCTCCTCCTCCCCGGAAACGGAAGCGACGCCCTCTTTCCATGCGCACGCCACCGGAAACGGATGCGACGCCCTCTTGCATGCGCACGCCACCGGAAACGGATGCGACGCCATCTTGAATGCGCACGCCACCGGAAACGGAAGTGCCGCCATCTTGTATGCGCGTGCAGGTACCCATCATGCACTGCGCAGGTCACGTGACCGGAAACGGATGGGCCGCCATCTTGGTCCCAGAAATCTGAGCGGTCCCAGAAATCCTGGTGGTCCTACGCCGATGCAGGTTACTACTCACATTACCTATCATTTCAGGGTTTGTCACCTGAAAGGTTATCTTCTAGGGACTCTATGCCGTGTGTAATCTCTCTACTCGAGTTCCATTTCATCCTTTCGTGGCCCTGTGCTACTTCTCATATGGTTAACTATGCCTTGTGTGTTATTAGGTGTGAGGTGAGGTGAAATTGGGTTTAACGTCGCGTTCAAGATCATTGCACTTATAACGACGTGCATGCACGTGTGTGTGTGTGTGTGCGTGCGTGCGTGCGTGCGTGCGTGCGTGCGTGCGTGCGTGCGTGTGTGTGTGTGTGTGCTTGTACTAGTCCGGACTGCTATCAATTTATTGTGCTGGCACACTGAGCTAATACCCGCAGTTTAACATGAATACCCCACTCAGACACAGCATACTGTCTCCGAGTCGACGGGTCCTTGCTTTAGCCCCTTAATGCCAGGCGCCAGACAGGTTAACAACATTTACCATCTTTTAACGCCTTTTGGTATGACGCGGCTGGGTATCGAACCCCGGACCTTCCGCTCACCAGGCGGAGGCTCTACCACAGAGACGGTCTTATTTGAAGTACAGATTTATATGTGTTAGCATGTAAACAGTGACGTTAAAAACCAAACAGGCAAACATCCATTTAGGAGGTGAGGTGACGTGAAATGGGGTTTAACGTCCTTTCAAGGTTATTGTACGTATATAACGTGTGTGTATACACTAAAATCTTGAAAATTGGATTTTAGCAAAAGTTACAAACGTTATCAGATCGTTACAAGGATAAAGACAATCGCCAAAACACTGCACACTTATATAGCGACGTGTATGCACGTACGCGTGTATGGCTGTTTGTACTAGTCCAGACTGATGCCGATTTTATAGTGCTAGCCAACTGAGATACCATGCCGCAGTTTAACATGAATAGCCCACTCAGACACAGTAGTACACAGACTCCGAGCCGACCAGTCCTTGCTTTAGCCCCTTCATACCGAGCGACAGACAGGGTAACAGCAAGTACCATCTTCCGCTCTCACTCGTGCCCCCCATACCAAAAGACGTCAAAAGATGGTTCTTGCTGTAATGATGGTATGCCCTGTCTGGCGCTCGGCATTAAGGGGCTAAAACATGCTATTCGTGTTTTCCCACTTAAAGAAGCACAGTTCTGTTCGATTCGGCGTTTTTACAGTTCTGCGGGCTATCAAGGGGAGGTTGTCGTTACTGAGGACCGCGCGATTCGTTTAAGAAACTCTGAGCTCCCGTGGGTAATAGTTGTCAGGAATCGCTAGACCTTTCATCGGTCGTACTATTACTGGGTGGTCAGGTTGAAACTTAGCCAGCAGGTAATTAGGGGCAGTTTTTGTCTTATACTGCCTTACTCCTGGTATTACGGTGCCAAACTTATTAGCTATGGTATCATATTTTATACCCCCTTTTTCTAGTGACCCGTCAATAACTAATTTACTCTGTGTTATCTAGTCTAGATCAAGTACCTTTTTTATTGTTAGAAGTCAAGAACTTCTCTTGGTCTAGTACCTTAAGTTTCTTGAGTATTTCCGTTTTGAGTCAAAGGCTAAGTTTGCATTAAGCCTAACTATTTTTAGGGATAGAGCCCCAGTGTCCATTTATCTCATTAATGTGTTGAGTAAATCGACTCCTATCATTGCAAGCATGTCATGTTATTGTATTGGTTGTCATTTATAGTTTAAGAAGTGTTCGATACCACACGTATGTAAATATAAATATAGCCTCAAACGTCAACGCCAGATTACCCTCCCTCGATTACCCGTAAACAAGCGATTCCCTTGGGCATCTAAAGACACGACAGCAGTGAAAATTAAAAGGATGGATTACTGAAAATCATTGATGACACCGGGTGAATACATACTGTGAAGACGGAATGGTTTTGTAGACTTTCGCAGAATTTCAAAGTTGCATGCCTACGTGCCCCATGTGTATTAATAGTGAATTGGACTGAAACTCGACAATATTTCAAACCCATCGTCAGGCTGAGAATAATTCCGTCTTAAAGCTAACAGTTAAAGAAATTAATTCGTTCAGAGGTACAAATCCATCAAGTAAATTACGTACTTTTACAGCTAATGAAAGTGTGAGGCTAAAGCTATCGAAGATAAAATTTGTTTTTGTTTCGTATTGATCCCATTCTTTCAGCATGATGCTTTCGATGTAGATAAGTATGTGTGTTTCACGTGAGATTGGTATCTATTGTGCGACGCTACTGAATCTATGGTTCATGATACCACCCATGATCATTGGTCAATTTATCTCGCTGCACCCTTTTTATAACAACATTGAACTATTTCATTAACAAATCACGACTTAATCGACGCATTGTTAACTGGAATCATACCCAATTCAATCAAGCTGTTTCCGAAATTGAATCGATAGATAGCTTGCTTGTAATAACAAAGCAGTTTTCGTGATGAACGTCCAATAAGTTTATCAGTCATGTTTTCCTACAATGCTCCTCTAATGGTAAACATGTTAATCACTCAAACTGTGTCCCACGTGGCATCCCTAAGATGGATATTTCATTATCAATGTTTTGCAACGACACTAAGTCAACACACGATCACGTGATCTGACAGAGGACTCAAGGTAAGATCTTGATCAATTCGTTTCACACATTCGGTTTGAAGTTTCATGTCGGTGGTTACTGCTGTTGTAACATATTTTACCTTTCTCGAAGCGGGTCTTTGTTAAATTTACTTGAGAAATGGGCTCACCCCTGGCTCTGACACTGGTCTACACCAACTTATTCCTGACAACTCCTGTTCCGGGAACAACGGCATCTCTCACCCAGTGCGTCTCCTCCTGCTACGCCAGCCCCAGCTGTGCTTCTTTCTTCTACAACTACGACGACAGCGTGTGCTACCACACCTACTTTCTCTATTCCCTGGACAAATATGAAGAAATGTTATCAACGTCGGCTGCTGATATCAAGTACTTTGAATGGACTCCGGGTAAGTTTTGCGCTTTTGTTTATATTCTAAATAACATACATCTGGGTTTTCTAGGGAACATTGTAACTGTTACGTGAATGAAAGACCGTTCAACTGGTTCCTTTCCTCTGAAAACGGATTGACACATTGATTCCGGATTAACTAATGTACTTATGTATGTTCGTTTACTTAAGAATTGACTCTAATAGATTTTGCGTTTACATATGAATGTATAAACGGAACAACAGGTGTGCATAATGTGTAATTACTGCGTAGGGATATTACGCAAAGTAATTACCAGGAAGTTATGGTACGGACGACAACAGACTCTCCATTAGTAAATGTTTTATGATTATCGAAATGGTTTTGCGCTTTTGTGTCAGTAAAAACGGGGATAATGAGCTAATCATGAAATTTCGAATGCGTGTTCCTTCATAGTATGTTCAAGTTGTGATATTATTATATATGAATAATATATATAATTTTATCAAGTTTAAATATCTCATTCCAAACTTTCTCAAAAATTAGAAAAAATGAAGTCTTGTGTTAATTTTGTTGGCTATCAGAAGACTGCTTTTTTGATGGGCCGTTCAAATAGTCATGTAGAAAAGTACAACAAAATATACAACCGACACTACTTGCTACTTGATCATGTAAAAAAACTTGCAATGTTATTATCTATACTTGATGAGCAAACCGGTTCCAGTACTACCTAATCAGGGTTAAAAACGTGAGATACAGTACTGCAGTTGTAAACATTGTCAAGGCGCATGCATGAGTTTGATTGACAGGGGCCATAGGTTACTTCCCTCAGGGTAGACAGTATAAAGACAAGCGAATGAAATAATAGAGACCTAACTCTTTTAATAATCATAAAAAATCTCTGTTAAAAGAAGCGTCTCTTGCCCATTATATATGGGGATTAACTGTGAAAATGGTTTTGTCAAGTGTCTGTCATCTGTAACTTTATCAGTTAACACACATATTCAGGCGCGCTTCAGTGCCATGGTATTATTTGTATACCCCGCCACGAAGTGTATGGGGGATATAGGACTGTTTATTGTCCGTCCGTCATGTTTCGTTTTCTGAGCAGAACTAAGAAAAAACATGAGAGATATCTTAACCAAACCTTCACATGGATACGAGGGGGCGTTCAATAAGTTTTGCAACTTGGGCATTTGGTGTTTACACAAACAATGTCAACTAGTGGCAGGTGTGACACTAGTCATAACATTAGTTTGACACGTGTCATAACAAGTTCCAGACACAACAATAATTTAGATGTGATGGCTTCATTCACCTAAGGGTGGTCACAATCATGGATTCTCTCAAACATAAACAACGCGCTGTAATAAAGTTCCTTACCAAGGATGGATGAAAAGGAAAAGAAATCCATGATCAAATGTGTAAAGTGATGGGTAAGGATGCTCAAGACTATTCCACAGTTTGCCGTTGGTCTCTACAGTTTAAAAGGGGCAGGAAGTCCATAGACGATGACCCAAGGTCAGACAGGCCTTCAGATGCCACCCAACCAGAAACCATTGCTGCTGTAGAAAGAATTTTTTTTCTGACCGACGAGTGAAAGTATGTTAACTTTCTAGGGAATTCCAAATATCAGTTGGAACTGTTGGAACCATTATTCATGAGCATCTTGGTATGTCAAAGGTATCTGCAAGATTGGCACCTAAAAACCTCAGAGCTCAAGATCGCCATCAGAGAACTGAAAGTTGTCGAGACCTCCTTGATCTCTATAGTGCTGATGAAGCCGGGTTTCTTTATCGTCTAGTGACAGGTGATGAAACATGGATCCACCACTGGGACCCAGAAACCAAATTGGAATCCATGCAATGGAAGCACGCCAATTTTCCGCCTACGAGGACGTTACGCATTCAACCCTCGGTTGGCAAGGTAATGACCACCATCATTTGGGATGCAAGAGGCATATTACTGATTGATTACATGCCACCAAAAACTACAATCAATGGACAGTATTATGCTAATGTAATAAAAGAAGAATTGCGAAAATCTATTCGCCAGCAACGCCGTGGGATGTTAGCACGTGGTATTATTTCCTGTTCCGGCAAATGAAATCTCCCTACGTGGAAGACGCTTCCAGGATGACGAGGACATAAAGGCTGCCACAGAGGCGTAGTTAGAGGGCCAGTCTGCGAATTTCTATAAAAAGTGGTTTTAAACGTTTGAAGGACAAAGGGTATAAGTGTATTGCGCGACTTGGTCTTATATTGGAGTTGCAAAACTTATTGAACGCCCCTCGTAGGTCAAGTGGTAAACTGGTGCCTTTTGATAGTAAGGGACTTTTTCGACTTTCCATACCAACGACTTTGACTTAGACTGAAAATGGCGGTAATGCTCGTTTCCAAAGCAGATCTTGAAAACCGCACAATATTTCTTGCCTTGCACAAAACCGGCCATGTCATATTAGCGGGATATGAGTATTTCATGCTTGTTGTATTTGTATTCACGCTTGTGTACCTTTTAGCGTCCTGTGATGCATCACGTGGGTGGAGGTACCATAAGGCAACACAACTGTGTTTCAAATACCACACCCAAGGCCAGGTGTTCTCTGATGCAGAGGAAACATGCCAAAGCGAGAACTCTACATTGCTTCGAGTTGACAGTCCAGACAGACAACACTTCATACACAATTTCGCCAACATTCACGGTAAGACTCGTCATAATTAACCTTTCCCCATGTAAATGTTCATTACAAGTAATAAGCACAATGCTATTGATATAAAGCCTAATGGAGCTTATTTTTTACATGCCTGTTAAATAACAAGCTTAAAATCAGGTTAATCAGTTTATTTCTCTGAAAAACCACCAACGGTGGTACAAGAGTATATATATATGCAACATATAATATACAATGCAGATCAAGATGGTAACAAGCCTAAAATAAATAGAAATTAAGCAAACAAAGTAATAAAAATAATAATCATCATCATCATCATCATCATCAAAAGAAATAAAATTAGGCACCTTAACGCAATAATGAGTTCAAATTTATGATGAATCTGGACAGATGTTTCAAAATGGATATATTTTTAGGTGATAACGTTTTACGCAATTTACACATATTTGGCCAAATATAACAATTCTGTGGGATGTAGAGAAGTCGTTGTTGGAGAAGTGCTTCACACCTAAAAAGATAGTGAAATTTGTCTCCAACAGCAGATGAATTGCATAGTGCACAGACACGGTCTTCTCTCAGTAACCCTCTCCATCGGCCGGTTTCAATGGGCAAATGATGATTAGGTGTGCGAAATTGTAAAATTGGCAAGTAGATAGTTTTGGGAAGTAATAGAAATTTTTCGAATTTTGGTAATTCTTTTAAATGTTGGTAGTATAAACCTTTTGAACTTGATAAAATAGATTCTCGCCACTGTTGAATAAATTGGTCTTTAAGAGTTCTCTCGACCTTTGAAACCAGCCATGAAGTAGAGCAAATAGACGGGTTTATGAATATTTCTGACAGTCCGACATCATTTAGTATTTTTTTTACTGTAGCTATCCACTTAAACGATTTTGCGTTTGCATCATAGTCTTTTATCAAATAGTTATATAAAATATTAGAGAACTTTGTGGGTCCGTTATAATTCGTTAGTTTATGCCAGAAGGAAATCATCCGTTTAAATACTTTAATTTTGACATCATTTAGTATTTTTTTTACTGTAGCTATCCACTTAAACGATTTTGCGTTTGCATCATAGTCTTTTATCAAATAGTTATATAAAATATTAGAGAACTTTGTGGGTCCGTTATAATTCGTTAGTTTATGCCAGAAGGAAATCATCCGTTTAAATACTTTAATTTTGAGTGGTTCCCTGCCAAGTTCCCCATAAACCATAAAATTAGGTGTTGAATTCCTCAGACCAGTTACTATTTTTAAATTAATAAGAGTGCAGTTAATCAGTTCGACGCATACTCCATGATCATACGATTCGATTATGTTCGTTCTTGAGATACAGACATCAGATATGTTGCTCTCAATGCTTCTCTCACTGGTACCGAAAATTCAGAAGACTCTTCGCTGAATACCTCATAAGAAGCAGATTGGTATCGTATCGCTGTGTAAGATATGATTTTACTGAACTTGTAACTCACTCAAGTAAACGCAGCAATCATCGATTCCATCCAATCGTGAAAATGTAAACCATTTACCTCATTGGCAACAGGGGTCGAAGAGTTTAAATTCACAGACTTTCTCAAAAAACGGAAATAAGTCTGGGTAAGTTACACAAAGTGAAAGTAAATTCGGATGTCTTCTAACGGAATCTAGCAAATCTCCACCAAAGAATTACGGATGTAGTGCGACATATTTGCCTTGTGGGCATCATATATTGCAAAAATCATTTTTCATACAAATGTTTAAAAACTACTTTAAGAAGATGTTGATGTCCTATAGATATTTTTCAATTTTTCACAGCATTCATTGTTCACTGATACAAAGGATCAAGGAACCTTTGTTCTGCAAATAACATGTTTCTAAGGTTGCATGATAGATTTACTGGCACAGCGGAAAGCTGCTTTTCTGTCTTGTGGTGAATGCTGTATACATGTAATGTTCATGAAAACGAAAACATCAGCTGAGCAGCGGGTTCCATTTATACCATTATCTGTTTGATGTAGATTGCAATACGACATGTGAAGAATCGGGGTAGAATAGATTTCAGCAAACCAAGCTTGCCATTAAAGGCGACTATGCTTGTCGTAAGAGGCGACTAACGGGATCGGGTGGTCAGGCTCGCTGACATGGTTGATGCATGTCATCGATCCCAATTGCGTAGATCGATGCTCATGATGTCAATCACTGGATTGTCTGGTCCAGGCCGCCGTCATATAGCTTGGATATTGCTGAGTGCGGCGTTACAAAACAAACAAACAACCCAAACTGGATTGCAACACAAAGATAAATTCTGAATATGATTTATATCTGACATTAAATGAGATTTGTGTCGACGTGTAAAATTACTTTTCGTAAAGTCGTGAAGCTCTAGAGAGTAAACAAGCGTGTCCCCAAAGGAGGCTCAGTTCGATCCCTGTCGACCTATGCTGGTCGTGAGTTTTGTGACTCCGTTCTTGCGATGGCGTTGAGCGTTGCTCGTACTTTCAATCACTTGTTTATTTGATCTTGACTGGATCGTTTACAGGCCATCGTCATAGCTGGACTTTTACCAATTTTAGAACTTGGATAACCAATACACTATCAACTATCACCTCGACTCTATTTCACTGAAATAGTATGATTTGTTCTTAAAAATCTAGACCGCCGGTCTAGTGGTAGAACGTCCAGAGCGGAAGGTCGGGGGTTCGATGCCCGGCCGCATCATTCAAAAGATGGTACTTTTTGTTACCCTGTCTGGCCCTCGGCATTAAGGGGCTAAAGCGTGGACTGGTGGGCTCGGAGTCAGTATATTGTGTCTGAGTGGGGAATTCATGTTAAACTGCGGCATGGTATCTCAGTGTGCTAGCACTATAAATCGGCTTCAGTCAGAGGTAGTACAAACAGTACAAGCGGCCACACACACAAGTGCATGCACGTCGCTATATAATTGCACAGTGTTTTTTGCGAATGTCTTGTAACGATTTGATAACGTTTGTAACTTTTGGTCAAATCCAATTTTCAAGACTTCGGTGTATACTTTCTTTTGCATTTCAGGCAAACACATCATGACCGGCGGCCGTAGGGTGAACGAGACTTGGTACTGGAACAATGAAACCCCTCTAGGCTACGAAGCATGGAAAGACGATGAACCTAAAGATGACAAAGACTGTATGCTGGTGGATAAGGACGAAGAATCCTGGAAGAGTGAAAAGTGCGATTCAAGCCAAGACTATATTTGTGAGAAGGCGATTTCTGCTGGTGGAGAATGTTCGTAGAAGTCGTGGCTCTCACGATTATGACCACCACCTGCCTTGTCCACTGCTGTGATGGTCACACGGAAACCAGAATCTACATGTGCGTCATAACTGTTAATAATGTCACCAAATAAATAGTGTGTGAGTTGGGTTTCATGCAGTGTCAATGTAAACAAGGACGAAAGCAAAGCTTAAACTGGTCGTAGCGAGCACATTTGCTTGTAGATCAGGGGTTAAAGTCAGGGCATTACGGGATGAAATGAATGAAACATTAAAAGACCTAAAACTCATTACGTTTGTTTGTTTGTTTCTTTGTTTTTTAACGCCGCACTCAGCAATATTCCAGCTATATGAGTCTGGACCCAAAACTCCAGTGATTGACATCATGAGCATCGATCCACGCAACTGGGATACGATGACATGCATCAGCCAAGTCAGCGAGTCTGACCACCTGATCCGTTAGTCGCCTGTTACGACAAGCAAAGTCAAGCATGGGTTGATGAAGACCTATTCTACCCCGGATCTTCACAAGTTTCCAAATACCGATAAATGATATCCCAAAACAAATTACCCATATTAAATCTTCCTCTGGAACTAAAACCATCTGTTTTTGTAATATTCGTTATGATAAATTCCCGCTCGAGTCGTAGCTGGGCGCAGAAGTGAGATAGTGACTGAAATAGGTTAAAACCCAATCCAGTCACTGCTTTCTTTCTGAACGTTACTGAATAGGCTTCCTTTGTTTTGTCATGTATGGGGGTTTAGTTTGTCGTCCGATGGTAGATACCTGTATGATGTTTTTAAGATTGTGTTCATCTTTTCCGCGTGGAATCCTGGTTCGAATTCGTCCCTAGCAACCTATGCCGGTCGTAAGACCAAATCGATCGGGTGATCAGACTCGGTGACTTGGCTCATTGTCTGTCTCCGTAGGCCGTGGATCGTTGCTCAAAATATAAATCACTGGACTGTCTTTTCCAGGCTCGATTACAAACAGGCGACCGTCATATAGCTGGACTATTGCTGAACGCTGCGTTAAACACCACATACACACACGCACGCACGTATGCACGCACGCACAGAACGACAATAAATGCCAGCTCCTTCCAAGGTGAAGTACGGATTAAAACGAACAGCCATTTTGACCTGCAGTAAGACATTATATTCGTTTGACTGACTTACAATAAATTTCAATTGCATTTTTAAAATTTTATTTGCTTTGTTAATTTGCGTTGTTAACAGTACTACAGCCAAATTGCGGTGTCAGCTTAAATACAGTATTGGCGAAAAGCCAAATAAGATGCAAGTCGTAGACATTTACCTTCTTGGTGAAACCACAAGCACGGGAATGGTGCTACGACCTAGGTTCATACACTTGGGATAACCACCTGAGTGAGTGAGTGAGTTAAAGCTTTACGTCACATCGGCAAATATTGCAGCCATATCGTGACGAGAAATTTCACTTATTAATACATATGTTTTAACTAAATTAAAACCTGTCATCGATGGACAGTAAAATTACTAGAATATCACAGATTAATATTTAAAACTAGCATACAACTATAAAAGATATCACTATATATAACGGAACAATATAAAAAAGGGCTATAGATCGCCAGCAGCTGAAGGTAGATCACCATGCTAGGGTCCATGGGGACTTACAGTACTTTGGCGGGATAACCACCTGAAGAATGTGATGCACACTATAGATCACTTAGGTCATCAGTCACCATCATACAGGAGAAGCTTAGGTCATCAACCCCAGCTATACATGTAATTCCTAAGGTCATCAACCTCCTTCATGGAGGAGTGATTTAGGTCATCAGCGTCCGCCATAGAGGTGTGGCTTTGGTCATCAACGTACGTGATAAAGGGTGACTTTGGTCATCAACGTCCGTCATACAGGAGTGGTTTAGGGCATCAACGTCCGCAAAGCAGGAGTGGTTTAGGGCATCAACGTCCGTCACAGATGAGTGGTTTAGGGCATCAACGCCCGTCATAGATGAGTGGTTTAGTGCATCAACGTCCGTCACAGATGGGTGGTTTAGGGCACCAACGGCCGTCATAAAGGGGTGGCTTTGGTCATCAACTCCCGTCTTACAGGGATTGCTTATGTCATTAACCTCCGTCGTGTATGAGCGGCTAATCTCATCAACTTCCGTCTTACAGATGTGTCGTCACGATATGGCTGAAATATTGCCGAGTTGACGTTAAATATTAACTCACTCACTCTAAAAAGTGTGGCTTATGCCATCGACCTCCGTCAAACAGCAGTGGCTTATGTCATCAATCTCTGTCAAACAGCAGTGGCTTATACTATCGACCTCTGTCACACAGCTGTGGCTGATGTAATAGATTGATAATAAGATAAAAGAGGGTAACGTGACTGTCAACACAACATGTTGGCAGTGTATTGTAAGAGTGCAAACAACCGCGAAAAACGACACTAGAGAAGTGCAGTCAAATATTAACGTTTGAGATATAGAGATTACTACACGAGTGTCTGTCAGATACCATTTATCTTACAACGAGTTGTTTCAAAACGTATCTAACGAGCGAAAGCTCGTTAGATACACTTTAAAACAACCAGTTGTAAGATAGATTTATGACGAGCACGAGTACAGTAATCTGTTTCTTACTCACCCTAAAATCTGAACTTTTCAGCCCCGAATCGATGCATTTTGTCTATTTTCATGATCGCCGTGGCGCATTTATACATAACACCACGGCTTACTACGCATAAATAATGTGACCCTACACAAAAAGGTATCCGCGATATCTGGATTATCAAGGCGATGGTGATAATGCAAACTAGATAAGATCAAAGAACACGCTTGCTGCCGAGGCCGAGTTAAAGTTTCACACCTCAAAGAAATGACCAAATATGTACAACAATGTTTACTTCCATATGACAGCACAACCGCTGACCGACTTTTGCAAAATGGCGTGTTCACTGACAACGGTACGCGGGATTTCCAGAGGAGGATTTTTGTTGATCGAGGGATCGTATGAACATAAATGTGTCATGTAAGTAACGGAAACATTCTGACAATCTTCGTACTGCTACTTGTTTGATGTTTTCCTACGTAACCAAGAGAATTAGTCAGAAATGCAGATAACTACCGTCGTCGTTGTGCGTGACTTTCCGTCAGTCATGGCGTCACTCAGTTGTTCGCAATGCCGAGCGCCAGGCAGCGAAACAACAAGTTCCATGTGACGAGGTCCATATTGAGTATGTCCATCCTGGTATGTGTATTGCTTATGTCGATTAAAGGTTTAATTCCCCTGGCATTAAATTACCCTTAAGGTGGTAATTAAATAACCACGTGTGACTTTACAAAATATGTCGCTGCATACATTGCTCAATGGACGACTGTAAAAAGGTGCTGTTAGATAAATTAACTGGTAAGGCCTTTCACACGGGAAAACAACGTGTATTGAAGTAGTGACTGAATCCATCTTCTAGAATGTTAAATGGTGGATTCCTAGGAACGAAAAGGGCAGTTACGTCATTCGCGTCACATGTTCATTACACCTTGGTCGGTGTCGTGTTTGGAGACTTATGGACTCAATCAGCTGTTACCGTAAGCACACCACGACCAATGCGGTGAAGATGTGGGCTTGACATCATCTGCAATGATAAGACAGACCTCATCCGTCATGATTGACGACTCACAGGGGAACGTTATCGTGAATACTTTTAGGCCACTTTTGACGAAATCGGTCCCACTCTCCACACCATGTTCCAAAATAAAATAAAATAAATAAAATGCCATTGTGTTTTAAAAAGGAACATGGTATCATGGACACTGACATCTATGATCTATATATAGCTTGCAGAATATGCAGAAACCTCTGGCCCCATGGATAACATTTGATTAAATGAAAAAAACAATTATTACAATTTACACGAAAAATACAGCCGTTACAATTTACACACTGTAAACTAATAATACAATACGAAATATAAAAGAGAATAAACATTAAAACATTCGTTTAGGTAGCACGTCTTAAAATCTTCCGAATGCGCGCATAGAAATGGTTTTACCGACAAATAAAAAAAAATGGCCAGAAAGTTTATATTTCAAATGTTGCATGCCCAGTTCCGCTTTGGTTCCGCATTGTGGGACTTATCTATCAAACCGAATTTGCATTTTACGTGTAACCCATCGTGGCGAGCAGTAATGGCGTTCGTGATTTATTTCAAAATTTCTAATAAATGTCACACAAACATACTGTCTATTTCTTTCCATCACGGTTTTCATTTATTCATTATGAATATAGTTTCAGTAGTTAGAAACTGTTATTTAGATAGGATACCCGGAATTTTCGCTGAGTACATTTAATTACATAAAACTAGGTTTCAGTACTCTTAGAGTATTTTTGTTGAATTAAGTTTTCAAAACTTACAATGATTTCTACACGCGGCAGTTTTGTGGTATATTTGGTAAAACAATATAGATAAGTTACCATTAGCTTGATTTAGTGAGTGAGTGTACATGTGTTGGGTGTAATACCGCTTTTTACAGTATTCCAGTTATATCGCGGCGTGTCAGCTTAATGTGGGAGTAAAGCGCGAAGTGATGCAGGTCTCAGACGTGTACCACTTCGGTGAGACCCACGAGCACGAGTATGGTGCTGACAAACCTAGAGACATAATCGGGGCGAACCGGGATTCGAACCCACAATCATAGGTTTCTGGCGTGCTCAAGGGACGCAACTCTGCACAGCGAATCGCGGCGCCTTAGACGACTGGGCCACCCGTGCCCCCTCAGCTTGATATAGTGCATAGTGCATCGTCACATGTGTTTGTCCATAGCACGGTCAGTACCCTTAAATTCCTATCCTTTATGATGTATACGCTCCTGAATTGGACATTGTGATGTATTTAAAATGTATCCGGGGAGGTGAATACAAAAGTGTAGATAGAATAGGGTAGAATAGGTCTTCAGCAAACCGTGCCTGCCGTAAAAAACCGACTGTGCTTGTCGTAAAAGGCGACTAACGGGATCGGGTGGTCAGGCTCGCTGACTTGATGGATTGCATGTCATCGTATCACAATTGCGTGGATCGATGGTCATGATGTCAATCACTGGATAGTCTGGTCCAGACTCGATTATCTACAGACCGCCGTCATATAGCTGGAGTGAGTGAGTGAGTTAATATTTAACGTCACATCGGCAGTATTCAGCCATATCGTGAGGAGAAGTACATTAATAATACATATATTTAGAATGAATAAAAACCTGTCAACGATGGACAGTAAAATAACTAGATTTATCACAGATTATATTTAAAACTAGTAGATAGCCATAAAAATAAAACATCATACGTAACAATACAAGATAAAAATGAGCTATTGATCGCCAGCCACTGAAGAGAGATCACCATGCTAGGGTCCATGGGGACTTACAGTACTTTTGCTACCTGCATGGACCCCAGCCGGATTTACATCATCCCTTCAGTTGTTGGCGATTATGACAAATTTAGCCAAAGTTTAACGAACATATATACTACTATTAAAAACGTGGCCGAAATAAATATACTTTGAAAGACGTGGTCTTATATACCCTCTCAAGGGGACAATAATTTCATATAGCTGGAATATTGCTGTAAACGGCGTTTAACAACAAACAAACAAAGGATACAACTTATAAGGATCAATACCAGGCATACGGAAGTTGCACGACTCCCCACAGCTGTCACTGGAAATAAGAGATGACTATTGATGCTTTATCGACCTCGTCACGTACACTCCATAGAGTGTGTTGATAATGCTTCCTACAACAATTGTGACCTTTGTTAATGCATTTAATACAACATGGCCAATGCGTGGAAACATGCCGCGATCCTTGGATATGATGGTTGTGGTCCTCTGTGTAATTGGACTGGTTACGATATACATGAGTATATCTTCTACTCTGTAAGTACATACCCTCGTATGTCACCCTTTATTTTATCATTAGTCACTTCTCCATGGAAGTAGCAATGCATGTAACGATAATGACGATATTACTTTTGATGTACACAAGAGCGTTTCCGCTTACATTGAGGTTACATACCAGTATGTCTTCTCTGTGTCCTAACCAAAAGTTCCTGTGGTCATTTGTCATAACTCGTCCCAAAATGGCACATTTCTATTAGCCCCGGGGAACATCCGGATGAGGATAGGTCCCCGATAATCTGTGCTTGTTACAAGCGACTAAATGGATCAGCCGCCGACCACAGTGACTTCATAGTGTGTCATCGTGTCCTGATGGCACGGATCGCTCATAGTAACAAGACCCCTTCATCTGTCCCAGAGTCGGTTATGTCAAGGCAGCTGATACATTTAAATTTAGTGTAACAGTGTATCAGGGAAAAAATACAGTGTAACAGTGTAAGGGTGATATTGAACCAACAAACATCTCCGACATCTCCTACAAGGCATAGACCCGTGAAGATCCGGAGTAGAATAGATCTTCAGCAACCCATGCTTGCCGTAAAAGGCGACTATGCATGTCGTAAAAGGCGACTAACGGGATCGGGTGGTCAGGCTCGCTGACTTGGTTGATTGCATGTCATCGATCCCAATTGCGTGGATCGATGCTCATGATATTAATCACTGAATTGTCTGGTCCAGACTCGATTATTTACAGACCGCCGTCATATAGCTGGAATATTGCTGAGTGCGGCGTTAAACAACAAACCAACCAACCAGCCTACAAGGCATATGGGGCTGACGTTTTATTTCAGAACGTTTCATGGTAGACATGTCGATGAAATTTCTCAGTTTGACGCGTCAGTGACAAAAGTTGGTTGGTTGGTTGTTTTTGTTCTCAGCAATATTCCAGCTATATGACGGCGGTCTGTAAATAATCGAGTCTGGACCAGACAATCCAGTGATTGAAATCATGGGCATCGATCCACGCAATTGTGATGTCTGATGCAATTCCCTATTTTGACCTGTACCATATGTTCCCCTGTTTAGGCCGGTAAATAATTGACATGCCTTTGAACGCTTTCGGGTGACACCGGTTGCGCAGGATACGCCCCTTTTTCGCCAACACATATTTGATGGTGATTCATAAACACACTTTTCGTAAAGATTTCCTATGATAAAGTAAATGTTTCCCTCGCCTTAGTGTAACAACCCGTCTTTTCAATCGTACCCAAACCTACTGTTATCCAATTTCTTGGCAGTATAAACAGTACATTTGACACTTGAATTCCTTTGAAATGATAGACCGTGGTCATATTACCCCCCATGTTTATCATTATTTCCATATGTATGTAACAGGTTTATATTTCCCAAAACTATATTTGAAGAAGTACACAAGAGACAGTAATTCAAAGTTTTAATAACACTAAATTTGTTTACCAATGCTAACCATGCTTTCCTTATGTGACAGTTTTGACGAAAGAATTCAGAGCCTTTCCATCAACCAAGCGGTCAAATACAGAGGACATGCAGCTACCTCTTCATTCAAACATATCCGGGATTTTAAATCCATCGCCATCCATAGGTATTCTGATTTTGAAATAACAACAATAAAGTCTGTGTATAAAGTTGGTGATGAAGTAAAGATTAAAGTCGTTATCAGGGATGGGTACAACAGAAGGAAACGTAATGGAGGTGACTACGTCAGAATGTGGATCAAGGATGTGGCAAAGGGATCATGTGCAAACGGAATTGTCACGGACAACCAAAATGGGACCTACACTGGAATCATAAAACTGCTTTTCGAGGGAAAAGTGAAGATAACTGTTAGTTTGGCTTCTCCAAAAGAAACTCTCGATGCTTTGTATTCAAATTTCAATGGCAAACGAATAAGAGAAATAAAAGCCTTCTACAGCAAAAATGGAATTTGGGAAGATACAATTTGTGGACCAGAAAAACACGTTCGAGAATATGGTGCTGTTTGTAACTACACCTCAAATAACTACGGCTTCCCCTGGTTCTGTGGTCATCCATCGTCAGAGGGGTTATCATGCAGTGACTGGAATCTGACAAGCACAGTTATGCCTGAGTTGAATTACAAAGATATATATAAGAAGATGTTCAGGTAAGATGCAAATCTGAACAGGGGTGGTTTAGCTGGCATGTAGAGTGGAGTTGGAAGTAGTCTTGAGGAATGCTAAATGTTGTAACATATGCCTTTTTAAAGCGTGTTTTCCTTCACTTCACATCTCGGCTATATAATATAACTCAACACAGCCTTACTTTTACAGGTACAATAGACTTCACAGGCATCTACGAAGCAAGTCCAACTTAGAAATCATCGTCTCTGGAGGTACGCCTTTTTACGATTAAACTGGTTCATTTTCCCGCAAAACCTAATATTCTAATTACTCAAGAACAATCACCAGCTTTAACTTTATCTATGATTTAAGTTCCAATGCATAAATCCATACTAATTTTCATAATTTGAGTATAGGAATTATCTGCAAGTAATGAAAGAACGACCTTTCACATTTCTCACAGGGGACTCACTGGTTACAAGGGAAGATAATCTTGCACCGTGTCACGACCTTCCCCTTCGCCTGACATGGTCATCTGAATACCCTTCTGGTCATTTTCTGAACTGGACATGGCACGTTACACACTGCAGAAGCACCTTCCAAGACACCCCAAAGCGCTGGAATGAATGTCTCAAATTCAGAACAATGTGGCTATTTGGAGATTCCACCACCAGACAATTCCTCTTCTACATGATAAAATATCTCGATCTTCAGCTGGTGACAGAAATGTGGAAAAAACAGTCGTGGCATCAGCCCTCATTAGCTAGACGTGAATCACATAATTACTCCATATTTTGGGGACCTCACTGCTTTCCCTTCCACAATGGCAAAGCCTGGGAGAATCTGGGTGCATTAAAAGCCACTCATTCCTATATCGACGAAATACCCAGCAGATCACGAGATATCGTTGTTATTCATTTCTATATTCATTTCATGGCATACCATCCTGATCTGTATCGACTGCATGTCCGAAGAACAAGCCAATCTGTAGCTGAACTTAAGAAACGTGCCCCGGACACGCTTGTGTTCGTTAAAGGTTCTCATGCTTTCTACGACCAAGGGGCTATCATAGGTAGGACGGATGATATCTGGGGTGGCATTTATGACAAGATAATTGAGGAGGAGTTTACTAAGTTGAAGGATAGCGTCATATTTCTGAATATGTGGGACATGACAGTTGCATCTGAGAATGAGATGCAGCATCCAAATAAAACCATCATTCGAGCCATGGTGAATTATATGATGGGATTTGTAAAATGTTGAAATAAATTGGGATAATACTGAATCAATTTGGAAATATTTTTTTAATTTGACGTTTACACGATATACGGCTTTTCCATTGGACGAGAGGTCGGTCATATGACTGCGAAATTGACGTTCAGAAGTGTATGAACGACACAATTTGACGTTCATACGTTTTTCACGAGACCGTGTTCTTGAAATGACGTAAACACTGACTGACTACTTCCACATTCCTGGGGAAACCCCTGGGAATTCCCTGGCACGAAAACATACATAAGCATTATTTCTGATCATTTAGAACCTTTAATCTTGGTCTCAGCAGTTCAGTATACATAGTAAACGTAAGAGAGCTTGACTGCATGATTGTTCACGAATTTCCTCGCTACGGCCCATCCTAATGAACAAACGAAAAAATGCACATCCAAACTATCGGGAGTATCGACTCGATCTGTGTGATGACTCGAGGTTGACAGTGACCGTCTCCAGCAATCTACGAATTTACCTTGGTGTCAGTTTGACGCATCTTTAATCACCCTTTAATAATCGGTCAGTTGATCAGTGATGACTTACACATGTAACCGCCACAGGTTCCTTAACAACTTCGGAAATCCTCCCGTCACGTTTATCGTGTCGGCTATTTTGACGTCTTGTACTTGATGTAAATGTATTACGACGCGCGCTCATTGTGACTGACTTACTGAGGTAGTTCATTACAGACCTTTCTCATCTAATGGGGATATTATATGAACACATGTGTTGAGTAAGATGTACCTGAAGAGCAAGTTCTGCAGCCATGTCACCTCTCTTTTTGGGGAACTATTTTATTCAGAGATATAGCTGGTTGTTGTTTGGCTGTCAGTGTAAACATGAAGTCACACGTACTAAATATAATTGTGTTTAGATCTTGGCTTACATCCTTTGAGGTAAGAAATTGGGATAAAAAATTGTAAGAATTGACTTTCACATTGTGTGAGTTCATTGTAGTATGAACCTTCAAAGAGTGAGGTCGCAAGCTCCGACGTTCATACAGTTTGGCCCTCACTCTATGAAGGTTCATACTCCAATGAACTCACACAAAGTGAATGTCAATTCTTAATTAATAGAGGAGTCTTCTTCGAGTTGTTACCATCGTTGTGGTTCTGGTCCTGGGCAGAATTAGTCCCCAGCTACCTACGCATGTGCGAGGCAGAGCTGGTGTTTGGCATGCTGTCGTACCCAGAAGGCGTGGATCTTTATTCATTGTATCATATTTTATTTTATTTTTTATAAATAATTTTGACTTTATAAAATAGGACTAAACAACATATTTTGTGTATATTACTCAATAATTTGTGTACAGATATGCGCCTGCCTTCATTCCCAATTATGTTTTAAGTTGCTGAGCGTTATGTGTTAATCGTTAAGACCACATGTCCGGCGGACCCGTGAAGATGCGGGGTAGAATAGGTCTTCAGCAACCCATACTTGCCGTAAAAGGCGAATATGCTTGTCATAAAAGCGACTAACGGTATCGTGTGTGTGTGTGTGTGTGTGTGTGTGTGTGTGCAAATTGAAACCAGTTAGGCAATAGCCCAAAGCCCAATAGATCAAAGCAATAAGGCTTGCTGGTGTCTCCTGATTTCAATGGCTTCTTGTAGTTTCCTTTGTCGCCAGTTGTTGTGTTGGTAGACAGGACTTTGGTGGCTTCTACCACCCCCACCACCCACCCCACCTGTTCACTACTGCCGTCGCCTGTGTCTTACACTCTCATCACTGATGGAACTCAGAGAGGCAAATCCCGTCTCGCTGATAACAGAGGATACACCTACGTATCAAATGTAAGTAGTAATTACCTCTCCTTTCGTAATTACATTGATGTATGCATTTATTTATGGCTATAGCATAATTAAATAATGCAAGTTCCGTGGTGTATATTTGTCCACGATTATGTATTAAGCAACTGTCGTTTGTTTCAGGGAGGCCACAAAGACACCAAGTAGTGGAGATGTTCTGTCCGGTACGGCAAGAACTTGAGCTGTCCAGCATCTCTGGTCCAGAAAGGAGAAGACTTCAAGTTGAAGAAACATTGTCATCCGAGATCAAGGAGCGGTGTGTGGATTCCCTGTTCAAGTCTGCCTAGGAGATCGTCGAGGCCCTGTACCGCGATCTTCAGGATATACCTGTCAGCCTTCCTTCCGTCGTTGCCATGTCAAAGAGGGGGAACCGTAAACGCCAAGCCCTTCGCCCACCAGAGTCTATTAACTCACTTGAGTATGAAGTAAGTGTTATTTATTCCGGCTAACAATATTCTATCTAGAATTATATGTTAATAAAATATTACGTTGGTATTAACATATACGTTATTAAAACGTTTTCTTTTTTTTTAACAGTTGAAGCCACACTACCTCCCTTCTGACTAGCCCTTCGCCAACCAGAGTTTAACTATCTTCAGTATGAAGTTAGTATTATTTATTTCTGCTAACAATATTCTATCTAGAATTATATGTAAATAAAATATTGCGTTAGTATTAATAAATAATAACTCCAATAGCCTTTCGTAACTCGTAAGTCACTTTAAAATGGACGACAAAACGGATAAACGTTCAAATGTTTGGGCGTATTTTGTCCTTGATGACACAAAGAAAAAGACCAAATGCTGTCTCTGTGGCATATGTATCAGCTACGCAGGTAGTTCGACGAGTTCCATGAAAAACCATCTAAGTTTTAAACACAAGAGCATTTCTCTTGCCGGCAGTGACAGCACGAAAGCCAAGAAACAATCAACTTTAACCGCAAGGGGCGTTTGGCTTGTATAATCTTAAGCCGATGAATCGAAATTCTTATGAATTTCTCACTAAAATGGCAATGCTAATGTGTGTGAACGACCTGCTGCCACTAAACCTCGTAAAAGGCAGTGGATTTCGAGATTTTGCTCATGCCATGAACCCAATTATGTTGTTCCCCACCCTAAAACGTTACACAAATACCTGATGAAAGAATATGATGATTGCAAATCTCTGTTGATTGAATATTTAAAGAAATGTTCAGCAGTTAGTTATGCAGTCATCATGAATTAAGTCCGTTCTCACTAGTCTAGATATTATACTTACCAGATCTGATTTAGTATTTTCCATGAGACAGGCGTACAATGAGAAAGTCCATGTTGTGGTGATAAGAAATCACAAATGACATTCCACAAGTGTTAGTTAAAATTCGTTTGATAACTTTTTATGATCACTGATTGTTAAATTTTTTTGTTCGGTTAAAAAACATATTAGGTTGTTCAAAGTTGCAAGTTTGTCTTTATGCTTCAGCACGATAAAAACAGAAAAGTTGTTCTGTTGGACTATTTTAACATAAAACTAAACAGTTTTCAATAATTTGCTGATCTGTTCAATAAAAATGTGAAATCTTATGTTACTTGTGTTTGTCATTATTGTCAAAATTATTTTACGAAATACTGAAATAGTGCAATGTTACAAATTACAATACAAGCCTAGATCACTCAGATACGTATCGATTTAATACCCATGTCACGACTCACGTGTCAGGCAGTCATGTGATCTTGCCGTTTCCCGCTCTCGTCTGGTTTGGTGACAGTGCTCAATACTTTGATAATCTGCGTCACATGTGGTTTTAGGTAAGCCATGCAGGCATTTAATAAAAAAAACCATAATTCCTTAGAATAGATCAATAGATGTTTGATGACCTTTTATTGGCAAAAGCATTACAAACAAGTGGGACAACATTGAACTACGGGTACTCGAGTCCGGTTCGTGTATTGTCTGCCGGGTACTCGAGTTCAGTTTTCTTACCCGGTCGCAACCCTACTTCTTACTTCCTTGTTGATGACTTTGAATTTCATGGAGCCCGGCATCTCATCCTAGCGACGCCTGAATAACTGGAGCCCATGAAGAAAATCAAGTCCTTGTTCCTTGACGGGACATTCCGTGTCGTCAAAGCGCCCTTTGTAGAACTGTACTCCGTTCACGTTTTCTTGGTTTCCGAGACGGGAGATGAAGCAGGTACCCACTGCTTTCATCTTCATGTCTCGGAGGAGGCGTGTCGATTATGAAAAGGTATGTAACATACTTTGTATTTCAGCTTAACTAAAGGAAAAATTATATGTCACCAATAAACTATAGAAATAGACGTCAACCTGTGATATCTTAGGTATTCCGATCGCTGCTATACAAGATGGGGACCATCAGCCTCCAGAGGTGTGTTGCAGATTTTGAGCAGGCGGTGTGGGAGGTTCTGAGACGGGTCCTTCCCGAGGTGCAATGTCCGTGGCTGTGCCTTCCATTGGCAGCAGGCGGTCTCCAGGCGAATACAGAATCTTGGTCTTGCGGTACGTATTGATATAATGAAATTGATACAAATTATTGTAATCAACCATAGTAATATTTATTATGGCATATTTCGCATGTATTTAATTATGTATGTTTCTTTCCAGACGGAATATTCAGAGTCGACCGAGTTTTATGGATTTGTCAAGAAACAGATGGCGCTGCCATACTTACACACAAGCCACATCAGAGAGGAATTTTTCAAACTAAAGGAAGAAGCAGGTGACCAACTGGCTCCCCTCCTCATCTATGCAGAAAATCAGTGGGTCTGCAGTGATACCTGGCATTGAGTGAGTGAGTTAAAATTTTAAGTCACATCGGCAATATTTCAGCCATATCCTGACTATCAATAGTTAAACATAATACATATATTGAAACATATAAAAAAAACTGCCAACGAAGGACAGTAAAATACTAGACGTATCACAGAAATACATTTAAAACTAGTATGTAATCATAAAATCAATAGCACTATACATAACATTACATTTGAAAAACGGGCTATAGATCGCCAGCAACTGAAGGTAGATCACCATACTGGGGACCATGGGGACTTACAGTACTTTAGCTTCCTGTATGGACCCCAGCCGGATTTACATCATCCCTTCAGGTGTTGGCGATTTTTTAACAAATTTAGCCAAATTAAAAGAACACATATTCTACGATTAAAACTGTAGTTGGAATAACATACTTTGAATGTTATGGACTTACATGTACGATACCCTCTCAGGGGGACAATAATTTTACACTACTTTAACCCCCTTTGAGGATACAGCCACGATCAATCACAGATATTGATTTATTCCACTAATGCTAAAAAGTAAATTATTTTATGCAAAGCAAATTAACAAAATTTCTTAAACAACTCTATTTCTTTTAAAAAGCCAATAATTAAATGAGAACTAATAGTGTTAAAAAGATCCTTCATAGATTTAACATTGAAATATTTATCCCTTGTGATGGAAAAATCTATACAGTCAAGCAGTACATGCTTGACCGTGATTCGTTCATCACAAGGGATGCAGAATGGAGGATCCTCACCTTTCAATAAATGTTCATTGGTGTAACGCGAATGGCCAATACGACATCGTCGTAAAATAACATCTTCAAATCTGGACTGACAACCCAAGTAGGTGTAACTGATATCTGGTTTATTGTCATGTAATTTATTGATACCTACCTGGGTGTCCCACTTCTTTTGCATCAGATCTCGTATATATGATCCAATCACAGGCCTGTAATCAGTGTATGGAACAAGAAGTGGTGTCACAGATTTGTTGAGTGCTGCTTTAGCAGCAGCATCGGCCATTGTGTTACCTTAGATGCCAACATGGCTTAGTAGCCAGGAAAAAACGATGTCGTATTGGCCAGTAGCAAGTTCATTATATAATTCAAGTATTCTGATTAAAAGTGGATTGATTTGTAATTGCCTGAAGACAGGAAAGAGAGTCGGAAAATATAATAAATTAATTATGCTTTGGTTGTTTACGAATGTATTGTAGTGCTGTTTATATGGCCTTTGATTCGGCTGTAAAAATGGAACAAGTATCTGGTATTCTAGATGATATTGTCCTGGATCTAATGATGGTGGCGCTGGCAACTGCGTCACCATCCTTGGATCCATCGGTAAATATACACTTATAAGTATCATATTTGTTTCTTAACTGGTTATACTCTTGTTGAAAAATTAGTTGATTTGTTTCAGATTGTGTAAATTGAGTTAAGGATAGATCCACCTTTGGTTTCACTTACTGCCATGGAGGAGAAGTCAAAAGTTGGGTTGGGGCTATTTTTTCGAGATTTATTTTAGCAGCCGAAATGGACGATTGTATTCTGAGGCACTTGGCATTGAAGAAATTTTAAAAAATAAAATATAAAAATACAGAAACCAGTCTCTGTGAATACAATATTGATATTCTCTGTTCTTTAACTGTCATGTGTTGTTAGGAGAACAGTATCCATAGAACGGCTGGTTACTATGCTAAACGCGCTGCGCTTCATGTTGAGTCAGTGAGTCAGAGCCCAGTCGGTTACGCTATTGGGACCGAAACTACTATACAAACATTTAGGTGCATTATGTGTATAAAAGGCACATTGATGATATTGTAGGGAATTGCTGTCCTTTGGTTAACTGTTTAAGGAGTTATAAATACCGTCTATCATGAACTTCCTAAGAAACTATGTACAAATCATTTATTTTACCAATTTTTTATTATTGTTGTCATATTTGGGACAACTGTACTAATGAACAAGCTAACTTATTGGAAAAATTACACGTAGATGCTTTTAGAACCATATGTGGCGCTATCCAGGGTCATCAGAAGATTTACAATGAAACAAATTGTAGGTCATTAAAAGACAGAAGACATTTTAAAACTGGTAATGTTTTACAAAATGAATAACCATTTATCCCCGGAATATCTTTGTATGCTTTTTCCTAATACAGTTTCGGAAAACACAAATTATGACTTAAGGGATAAAACTAATCTTCAATCAGTGAAGTGTAAAACAAAAGCTTATGCAGATTCATTTATACCAGCTACAACACAACTTTGGAATATGTTACCAGAAAACCTAACGGGGACAGAGACCGTTACACAATTTAAGAATTTGCTTCACGTAAAGGGAGATATACAATGGTATACAATGGGATTTAAAATATGGAAGCAGATTATGCCAAATAATTCACAGTCGCAGTCGCCTCATGCTTGGCTGCAGCGATCTTAACGGAGATCAGTATAATAGACATATCTTTGATACAAAAACTTGTTCCTGTGGATATCATACCGAAGATGCAAATTTTGCTTATCTGAATGCCTCTCCCAAACATTATACATATACAAATAGCAATGTATTGAAAGTGACATGAGAAATAGCATACATTGTATAATTGGCATTAAAGATAAGTATTGTTCTGTAAGTGTTTAATTACTAGATTATCTTCCATAATTACAGTTACATTATTATTTACATTCACAACAACACCGCAGTATCATATAGCAAAACCAACATCCCAGACAAAATCTCTTTATCAGCAAGAAGATAGAATAAAACTGCACCGATTTCAAAATTTCAAGATTAGATACTGTCGTTACATTTGAATTACCATTTAGAATTGAATTCAAATCTTTAGCCTTATACGAAATAATACATGTTTTGCCTTGCTGTACTGTTTAAGGGACACGTAAGAAAGAATTGAAGTGCATCTTCCGTATGATAGCCACAACAACATCTCGGGCAGCCAAGCCTGAGACGGGAGTGTATAACCTGACAGAATCTTGATCCATAATTAATTTTGTATCAAAGTATATACCATTCCTATCATTGCTTTTTAATATAACTTTTAAAACTTCCTAAGCTACAGGCATTGGTGTATTCAATAGGTAGTGAGTTCCAAATATTAACTGTATCCGGAATAAATGATTTGGCATAATTATTTGATTAAGCTTTGTGGTTTGCAGCTGTGAGGAGTTTCTCAAATTATAATCACTTGCATCCGACACTCTATTTGGAACTAAGGATGAGAGATAGTCCGGTACAAGATTGTTAACCATTTTATGAAAACTATTTAACTTTTGAAAATGCCTTCTTTCTTCTAATGACGTAAGATTTGTTTCTTTATAAAGTTTGCCGTGACTTGTGCCACGAACAGCCCCACAAATAGTGCATCTAGATTTAGTTTTTCAAGGAGTAACGCCTGTTCCTTTGTGCAGTTGTCCCATATGTGGCAACAATAATCAAATATCGGCAATATGAAAGATTTATGCATAGTTTCCAGTGTCTTTTTCTATTTAAACGATACTTGACACTCCTGAGACAGTTAATCATTGGACTGACTTTCTTGACTAGGCCATCAATGTGATCGTTCCACATACAATCTACTTGGAGAATAAGTCCTAGATGTTTATGAGAAAGAACTTCCTGAACAGTAGTTTTACTCATTATCAAAACTGGTTTTACATTTGGAAGAATCTTCCGGGAAAATTGGATAGATGCTGTTTTATTAGGGTTGAAATCTACCTGCCAATTTTCTGCCCCAGAGGATATTCTACTTAGATCGTTATTC